GCAGCAGAGTGAAGACTAACAGCCACACATCTAGAGTGCACGGATGAAAGACGGAAACTGTGGAGAAGTGGAATGAAGTCACATCCGCACCTCACTGGCCAAGATAGTGTGACAGGGACCAGATTTACCCTTGTGACAGAAACCCAAACAAAAATGGACAGAAGTTATAAAACACTTTTCACACCACCACCAGACATCAGAAAATAATGTACAGAGGGCCAGGCTACGGTCCAGGCGAGAGAGCCCAGCTGAGCCCAGGAAGCTCCCAAGCTGAGACAGAGCCAAGGTCAACAAATGCAAGCACGGGCCTGGGACAGCGCCAGCTCATGTGCACCAGGGAGAAAGGGAACGAACCCCGGTGCTCACAGGCAGAGCATGCAGACCGGCTTGTCCCTGTGGGGAACAACAGCCCACCTGAGTACAGCTGGGTCCCACCTAGCAAATACTGATACAAGACCCAAAAAAGGGTCAAACTGCTTCCAAGCCATTGAAGTGCATTCCACAACAAAGTTTAAGAATATTTATAGGAATTCAAAACTACCCAGCTACCAACAAGGTAAAAACTCACATTATCTGGCATCTAATCAAAAATTACCAGGCACACCAAAAAAAAAAAAAAAAAAAAAAAGAGCAGACTGTGACTCATTAAGAAGGAAGTGCAGTGATGAACCCCAAGCGAGACCTGACAAGATGCTGGAAGGGGCAGATGTGGGCTGAGGCACAGCTCCAAGGCAGAGGCTTCCTCGTGTCTGCCAGGCCTGAGCGGGACTAGAACAGTTATTGGAACTATATTCCGTATCTTCAAAAAGACAAAGTTTTTTTTAAAAAAAGTCAAATCAAAGTCTAAAATAAAAATAATGTGTGAGATTTAAAAAACAAACAGCTGAATGTAGTAACCCCAGCTACTTGGAAGGCTGAGGCATGAGGATTCCAACTCCAAACCCCAGCAAGAGTAACTTAGTAAGACTGTTTCAAAATACTGTAAGTAAGCTGGGCATCGTGGCACACACCTGTAACCCCAGCACTCCGGAACCTGAGGCAGGAGGATCGCTGTGAGTTCTAGACCAGCCTGGGCTACATAGTGAGTTCCAGGTCAGTCTCAACTACACAGTGAGACCCTGTTTCAAAAAAACAAAATAATACATACATAAATAAACAAAACGGATGGATATGTAGCTCAGTACAAAGGTCCTAGATTCAACCCGTAATACAGCAAAAGAGCAAGATAGAGAAAGAGAGAGAGAGGGAGAAAGAACATAAGCAGAGCTCTGGAGATGATGCATAATATTCAACGTTATGAATGTATTTAATACAACTGAACTTTAAAATTCATAAAAACTGAAGTAGTAAATGTTATGTTTATTTTTTCACAATAAGAATAGTTTTAGGGCTGGGGACATGGCTCAATGAAAGAGTGTGTGCCTATTTGCACTCTTAAAAAATAATTACAGCCGGGGATTTAGCTCAGAGGCACTGTGCCTGCCTCACCAACACAAGGTCCTGGGCCCAATCCCCGATACAAAAAAAAAAATAATAATAATAATAACAATAATAATAATAATAATAATAATAATAATAATAATTTGAGGGCCAGGAATTTAGCTCAGTGGTTCCAGCATCTGCCTCATAAGCACAAGGGCCTAAGTTTGATCCCTGGTACCAAATAATGATGATGATGATGATGATTACAAATAGTATTTCAAGATAAAAAACAATGCCATAAACACCAATGCTACTAGCATCAAAAAATATATTATTTAAGGACATGTCTGGTAAAAGATGGAGAAAACCGCTCACTACGCCAGGCATGGTGTGTACATCTGTAATCCCAGCTCTTGGGAGACAGAGGCAGGAAGATCACTTCAAGTTCAAGGCTAACCTAGGCTACACAGAGAATTCAAGACTAGCCTGTACTACATAGCAAGACCAAACAAAAAGGAAAGTTCTCTTCAAAAAGATACTGTTAAGAAATTAAAATACAAGTCACAGACTGGAAGAAAAGGTTTGTAAAGCATATATCTGATAAAGGACTTATATCCAGAATATAAAAAGAACTCTTCAAAACTCAACATGCCTTCATGCCAGGGATTTAGCTCATTGGCAACGTGCCTGCCTCAAAAGCGCAAGGTCCTGCATTCAATCCCCCATACCACCAAAAAATAAAAAAAAAATTAAAAAAATAAACCATGAGAAAAGCTTCACTATAAATGGGTAAGCACTCTGAACATACACAGTACCAAAGATGGCGAAAAGGCATCTGAGAAAATGCTCAGCATAAGTCACCAAGAAAATGCAAACTGAAACCACTGTCAGATACCACTAAACACATCAGGCTGCCTAAAATTAAAGAGAGTAACTACATGAAGTGTTGGTAAGTATATGAAGTGGTTTGACTACTTTGAAAAACTGTCTGATACGGTGGTTTTGTTTTTGCTTTATTTTTTGTGACAGGGTCTCAATATATATTCCAAAGGGGCCATGAGTTCACTATGTAGCCCAGGCTGGCTTTGAACTTGCAACAACTGTCCTGCCTCAGCTTCCCATGTGTGCCACCATGTCCAGCATCCCCACCTCCACCCCCTGCCTGGTTCTTGCTCTGTTTCTCAGGCTGGCTTTAAGCTCCTGGGCAAGCCCAAACCAACCTCCTGCCTCTGTCTCCTGAGTTACCTGGGCTATGGATACATGTGACCCTGTCCAGCTATTTTTTTAGATTAAGTATTTTCTTATTTTTAGAAAGCTTTTAACTTGCTCACTAAAACATAAAAGTTGTATTTTTTTGTTTTTTTGAGACAGGGTCTCACTATGTAGTTGAGACTGACCTGGAACTCACAATGTAGCCCAGGCTGGTCTCGAACTCACAGTGATCCTCCTGCCTCAGCCTCCTGAGTGCTGGGATTACAGGCGTGCACCACCATGCCCGGCTTTAAAAATTATACATATTAATGGGGTAACACAATTGGTCTGGCAGTTTCTAAAAAGTTGAATGTCCACCTACCATAAGACCAGCCAGTCCCAGGTATTTACTTGAGAAAAATGAAAGTATATATCCATACAGAGGCCAACAAAAATAGCTTTACTGTAATACAAAAAACTAAAGCCAACCTGCCACCAGATAAATGGCTAAGGTAAGGTGTGTGTGCAACAGACTTCTCACCAATAAAAGGGCATACTGAGACATGGGACAACACAGGCGAATTAAAAATGATTAGGCTGAATGAAAGAAACCAGAACAAAAAAGGGCACATGCTATTTGGTTTCCATTTTCACAAATGGCTGGTACTGCAAACATGGGCGGAGGGACAGAAAGCAAACCAGTCTGTTAGCAAGGAAGAGGGACAGCAGAAGAGAGGTGGGAGGACACCTAAGGGACAGAAGAAAACTGCTGGGGGTTTGGGAACATGGGACGGCTCACTTGATCCGGGGGTAGCAGTTTCACAGGTGTGCACACATTAAAACTTATTACACTAGCTTTCAAGTATGTGCAGTTTACTATGTCATTACACCTCAGCAAAACCTAGTAAGAACAAAAACAGAAACACTTCATCTTCCAGGATAAGCACATGGGGAGGATAATCTTGGGCTCAGGTTATCAAGGTCATCAAGGTCCTGGGGCACTGAGGCTACTTCCCCAATGTCTGTTGGCCAGGGCTTCGAGCACTCAGGACCTGGGTGCAGGGATAGCCTGAGTAAGCTGCAGACGGGAAACTGAAGCCCAGGGCACTATCCTACCCAAGGATGTGACACAGCTAGTGAGCGCTATCGCCAGATCAAAACAGACCCATCCAACAATGCCAAAGCCTTTCTCCTCTGCATCTCAGGTCCAAAGGTCATCCTCGAATCCATAGATGGAGAGAGATGTCTGCTTGTAGGAATGAACTGAGAACTGATAATTCTCTCCCTTGAAGCCAAAGCACTGGAACCACCCTGGCCATTCCAGAAGAGCCAGGCAGAGGACACCAATCTGAACTTCCGGTGCGTGAGTGCTGGGAGGCAGCGTGACAGGCACGGGATGAAGCTGACAGACTAGTTTGGCTTTGCCAGGAGCAGGCTAACCGGCTCCTCCCAAACACTCAGCCACCACAGCCACTCCCTCTGCCCCCACAGGCTAGTGCAGTCTTTACCCAGTGTGGCCCATGACAGGATCTGAGGATCTCACAGCCAACCACGGACAAGGGCAGAGATGGGTCCCAACCAAGACCTCGAGGCAGGCAGCCATTGTGCTTCCCTCCTCACCTGAGAGCCAGACAAGCAAGAACCTTGACAATGCTGGCAAAGAGGTGAACAGCCTGAAGAATCCAGGCATAGGCAACCCTGGCACCAGGAATCCAAATCCAGATGCATGCCCTGGCCGGTGAGCTGAAGCAGGCCTTGGTGGGTAACTCAGCTGCCCCCTGGCCTCTCCACAGCACGTCCACAGCCGAGCAGGGCAGTGCCCCTCCTCCGCCATCCCTTTCAGGATGGTGTTCCTGGGTCCCACTCAAGAGACAGGACTCACCAATTGCTTCCTGCTCTCCTGCCCACTATTCATCTGTCACTCTGGGTCCTCAGTACCAATCAACTGTAGCAAGATCGCGTGGCAGGGCAAGTCAAGCTCGTGCCCAAGCCCCTGGCTGCCCCGCTCCCACTGAGCTCACGGGACCCAAGGGTAAGCCTCCAAGCAGGCAGCCTCCCTGCCCTCTTCCTTCTCCGCAGGAGTGGAGACGATCCGTGCTGACTACACCACACTAGCTATTACACAGGGCACCCCCAGTTCCACCAACAGAATGGGAGAGAAGTAGGTGGATGTGTGCCTGCAACTTCAGCCCTGGGGCTAAACCTCACTTCCCTCTGCCCGGACCTGGCAGCCACCCAGGCCGGTGCACATCTAGTCTAGACTGGAAAATGGATACTTGGCATCTCAGGGCTGGTGGTACAAGGCTGGGAGAGGCAGCCTGAGCCTGCTGTTCCGCCCCACCGAACACATCATCACCTGCAGTGAAGTTTAGAACCTGTGTCCTTACCTTCTGCTTTCAGCGACTTTCAGTGAAGCCCAGGCCCAGGTAGCAGAAGATCCTGCAGGTCACTGCCTGTCCTCAGGGGGCAGCTTACAGCAGCGTTTGTGTTCGCAGATGCCCACGCCCCGCGCGCCCCTACATCCTTTGTACTGATGGGAGAATCCTGGCTACCACCTCCTTCTCCGTCTGCGCTTTCGAGTCCCGGGGCCCCCTGGGGGAACCGCTCCCGGCTGGGACCCCTTCCGGTCCAGGAATGTCTCCTGCACAGCACGAACAACCTGTCCCTCCTGCACCCCAGGCAACCAGTTTGCTTCCTGCACTCCCAGACGCCCCTCTCCTTCAAGCCCCCAGGGCCCAATCGGCCGGGCCCTGCTTAAGACCTCCGGGCGCCGCGCCCGGGTCTCCCCCAAAGCCACCGCCTCGCGCCCCAGGTGTGCACAGGTTCCCCACGTCCCCTCCCCGGGACT